ATAACATTTCACTTCTCTAATATGGCTAGTAATATTAATTTGTGTTTTAAAACATGATTAAAATGTTTGTAAAATTAACTAGTTCTGAAAATGAATAAACCTGTGCATTTCCTCAGATTTTTATACACCTTTAGGTAGTTGACAAAATAACTTTAAGATATCACATGTAACTTGATTCTCCTATGCCTGATTCACATACATCATGCCATATATGACTTACCACATGAGTTTTGCAACACGTGGTTCTGTCAATATTCTGTTCAACAAGAAAAAACACTAATCATGAATTTAGATGTTCTGGCAATATTAAACTTTTTAAAAAATTTCTAAGTGTTTAAGTTTCTAAACTGATCTCATCATGGATTCATAACAAATAGATCATAAACCACCATTGGCTTATGATTCATGCTTTGAATCGCAATAGACTAGATGATTGTATGAATCCCAATAAAGTTGTAGATCTTATGTACACTAATAAGTCTATAGGAAATTGTCAATTTCATCGAAGGATTTATTTGATACCTATTATATGATACCATAGCATATTAACACTTTTTAAATTGAGATACTTAACATGTAACATTGTGTTAGCTTTTTTTTTAAGATTTATTTATTTATGCATTCAAGAACTGGGATACAGGCCAGAGGTGCGGGGCTGGTGAGAGGATTCACCAAAGACAGAGTGGGGAGCAGAACAGACAGATTGACTGAAATACAGTGCTGAGGGAAGCAGCGGGCGAGCTAGGAGAAGAGGTTCTATTGTGCCATGTGGGAATTCGCTGGCTGGGGATCGAACTCGTGCTGCAGTGGTTGCGGATTACTTCATAGGTTGCGTGTTAACCCCTTGCCCCACCAGGGAGGCCCTGTGTTAGCTTTAGATTACTCATGTTGATCTGTAATTCCATAATAAGCATTTGTCTTATTAGAAACAACAAGAAATGTTATACTTAGTCGTTAAATTTTTAAAAATTTGACCACTCATGAAACAATTTGCAGGCATATACTGCTTTCATGAAATTTCAGGGCTTTTAAAGTAGACCTGAGCCTTTAGATTGTGTTTGAGGTTTGAATTTACAGATCCAATTTGTAAGTGATGGTGGAGTTTTATTGTTTCTTCTCCAAGAAGCCTTCAAGAAGTCACAGGTTTTATTTGTGAAGTCACAAGTTCTCTATGTGATCTTTCCAGGATCCTGAGTAGTTACAGCTGATACTTCTCAGTGCACGTATATATTCCATGGTTCTGAACTAGCTCCATTGGGTCTCTTCTGATTTATATAATGGATCAGTGAGAATTACCCAACATTTTATTAGAAAATTCCAAATGTGGGCCTCCCTGGTGGCGCAGCGGTTGAGCGCTGGGTTGCGAAGCTTCCCGCAGCCTCTGCGGCACCGGTTCGATCCCCGGCTGCTCCCCGGCCACCAGAGGAGGGTCCCACATGGCCCGCAGACCTCTCCTGCCGCCCGCTGCTCCCCTCAGCAGTGTACTTCAGCCCTTCTGCCTGCTCTGCTTCCCGCTCTGGCTCTGGTGAATTCTCTCACCCTCCCGCGCTTCTGACTGTACCCAGTGCTTGTATAAATAAATAAATAAATAAATAAATAAATAAATAAATAAATAAATAAATAAATAAAAGTTAGAACAAGGAAAGTATTAAAAAAAAAGAAAATTCCAAATGTACAGAAATGTTTAAAGAATTGTATAGGCTTATATACTCATTACTTATAGTTTATCATTAACATTTACTATATTTGCATAATTATGTGCTTATATAAATACCCCTCTCTCCAACCATCACTAATGCTTTCTCCTAAATGCTTTAGCATACATAGCATTAACTAGAGTTCATTCTCTGTTTATAGTTTGTTTTCTTTTGAGCTAGACTAGTCATATTGCAATACACAGATTTTTAGTGTGTGTTCTCTGAGTTTCAACAATCGCATACCTATATAAGCCATGGTACTGTCAAGATATAGGCGTGGTATTCAATTAGGGGTGAATTTGCTTTCCAGGGAATATTTAACACTGTCTGGAGACATTTTTGGTTGTTACTACAGGGTGGAGTAGTACTGACACCTAGTGACAGTTCTTTTGCTGTAGAGTATTACCATAACCCTGCAAAGTTTCATCATCCCTCTTGCCAGTCATCTCCCCCACTCCAACCCCCAACCTCCCACAAGTAACTGTTGTGTATTTTTTTTTCTATTATAGTCTTGCTTGTCCTAGAATATCATGTAAGTGGGATCAAACATCACACACACAAGGGTTCATGGCAGTCTTGCCTAAAAAGGAAACATTGCCCTACAGCTCTTTGTTTTTTCCCTATTAGTTATAAATATCTTACAGGTTTCACATAAAGGTCACAGATGTAGTGTTTTCAGCAACATTCCTATAGCAAAGGAGTTCATGTGACTCTTTTATTTAGAAATTACCAAGATGTAAAGCCAAAGTGGAACTCAATGCAAACAGTTTTACACAGGAGAGACAATATTATTTTTTTTTAAATAATAAATTTTATTGTTATATTCCCCATACAATTGCAGCCCCCCCATTCTGACCCCAATCCCTCCCCTCCCGCCCCCGCCCCCCAAAAAGTGTCTCTGGTTCATAGTTTTTTGTTGATTTTGATTTTCACTTTCTTATAGTTATTCATTTTCCTGGTCCCTTATTTAAGTTTTCTAGATTCCTGCTATGAGTGAGACCATCCGGTATTTTTCTTTTTCTTTTTGGCTTATTTCCCTTATTACCCAAAGGACACAGAAACATCAATTCCAAAGAACACCTGCACCCCTATGTTTATAGCAGCACTGTTTACAATAGCTAAGCTTTGGAAACAACCCAAATGCCCAAAAATAGATGACTGGATCAAGAAATGTGGTACATATATACCATGGAATATTACTCAGCATTCAAAAAAGATAAACACATGCAATTTGCAGCAACATGGAGGGCGCTGGAAGGGATCATGCTCAGCGAAATAAGCCAAAGAGAGACAATATTATTTAAAGACACACACTGCTGATGGTTCAGTTGACTTCAAATTAATACTCAGAGAAATGAAGTTGGGATGATCTTCAAACACTCTCCACAAGGGGGCAGTCAGGATTTAGTAAGTCTTAACAGCTTTCATTTCAAGATACAGGGTTAAGGTAAATTTATCAGCTCTGGAAAATAAGAGGAAACTTGCCTGGCCTTAGTATCGGCTCTGCAATGTTTTCTTTTCTTCTTCTTTTTTATTTTTTATTTCTTACATATTTCTTACATCATTTTTCAATTTTGCACAATGTGTGCATTTTCATCTTGGTTATATTCTCCATACAATTGCAGCCCTTATTTTGACCCCAGTCCCTCCTCTCCCCCTTGCCTCCGTAGTGTTTCTCTGGTTTATAATTGCTTGTTGATTTTGATTTTTTCTTTCTTATAGTTATTCTTTTTCCTGGTCTCTTATTTAGGTTTTCTAGACTCCTGCTATGAGTGAGGCCATCCGGTATTTTTCTTTTGCTTTCTGGCTTATTTCGCTGAGCATGATCCCTTCCGGCTCCATCCATGTTGCTGCAAATTGCATGAGTTTATCTTTTTTGATTTATGCAATGTTTTCTTAAAGATAGTATTGGAGAATATCTGAAGGCAAAGGAAGATTCTTTAAAAAAACCAGACAAACATGGTTGTGGTTTCATTACAACAAAAACTTCAGTCCCCAATATTGTACATCACATTGTCCTCGACAGCTCTGGTGGCACATAGTCATATATTTATTAGTCATTAATTAATAGATTGATTCATTTATCAAAGGTTACTTGGTGATGTCATTCAATCTCATGACTAAGTACAGCCAGTATCCTGACAACGTCCACATTTTTATCTCTAGCTTAAACTGCTAAGATAGTCAATTGCTTATCTTATGTCTCTACTTGGAGATATAAAAGACAGTTCAAATTCAGTGTGTCCAAAACTGAATCTCTCCTTGCTCATCCATCCAAAGCCTTCTCTTTCACAGCATGAAAATTAGCAACTTCTCTTCCCAGCTGCACAAATCAAAACCTTGCTATCATCTTACACCACTTTCTTTGTCTTACACTGCACATCCAATCTGTGCACAGCTCTTGGTGGTGCTGCCTTTTAGATCTATCTTGTGTTCAACCACTTCTCACGACTACACTGCTATCATCTGGCCCAAGCCACCATAATCTCTTTCTGGTATTGTTGTTGAAGCCTCATAACTGGATTAACTTCCAACCGTCTTCCTCATGGACTATTTCTAACAGTGTAGCCAGAGTGATCCTTTTAAAGTACAGATAAGAACTTCAGACTAGTTACCTATTTCATTCAGACTTAAAAGTCAGAGTCATAATAATGGCCTAGAGGCCTTATATGATATGCTACTACCCTGACCCTGATGTGGTTTTTTACCTTGTCTCTTACTACTCTCTCCTTTCATTTTTTTTTTCTCTTCCATCCATAGTTCCTGACTATTCCTCAAACCTGCCAGGTGAGCACGGATTATTTTCTTACCTCAGTTTGTCCATTCCTGAGCACCTGACTTTGAATGTAAAGTTTAAATTGCAGTTTTCAACCCTCTACTCATCTTTGTCTGCTTTGTTTCTGTTTATCTCCATATGACATTGTTTATTTTTTACTTATTTGCTTGTCTCCTTCCATAAGAATGTAAACTCCATGAGGTCATTGAATTTTGTCTATTTTATTTGATTGTGAGCACCTAAAACACTAACAAGCACACAGTATTGGCACTCAGTATCTGTTGAGCGAGTGATTATTGAATCCTCCCTACCCTACCTACTACATGCTATGTGCCTTGTGCTAGACCCCGCACAGTCAGTAGTGACTGATCCCTGCCCTCATAGACAACTAGTACTGGAGACATTGTCTAATTAATACAAATGTATGAAGAGTGATACAATGAGATTTAGACTTGAATATGGAATTGTAGATCAACAGTCTTTTGGCTTCCCTTTCTGTTGGTGTTAGCTGTCTGTGGACTTCTAGCGAGTCCGAGACTTGGGACACGACAATGAGGGAACTCAGACATGGGGGACTGTCATGTCCAGCATGCAGTAAATCTTTATTGTCTTGGTGCTCATTATATACTATTTTAATTACAGCAGGTATAACATCAAAGCATACCATATAATGATAACATGCATGAGTGATTAGTCTATTTTCTTACTATTATCTATTTACTTCAGACACTAGGGTACCAGGTGGTTAGTTCTCACGCACATAATCTTATCGCCCCCTAGCCAGAGCCTGGGAAGTTCGCTCATTATTTTTGTTATTCTCAAATTGTGGAGCTGTACGCAGTTCACTTCTAGGCTCTCAACACCAAGTCCTGTCACCCAGAGGTTTTCCTCCAAGACACATGTGTTTTCACATGCCTTAGGGACTCGGGTCAAGGCCCTTCTGCTCACTACGCAGGGTCTCTCCATTTTGTTATTCTCAGACTGTGGAGATGTAGAAGCCTGACTTCACGCAGGTCGCTTTCCAGGCTCTCAGCACCAAGTCCTGTCACTCAGAGGTTTTCCTCCGAGAAGCATGTGTTTTCACATGCCTTAGGGACTCAGGTCAAGGCCCTTCTGCTCACTATGCGGGGCGTCCTCCAACATCTCCCCCTTTTGTCTTTAATAATTCAAGCATCAATTTAGCCAAGTCGAACCGGAGGCTTGTCCATCGTCGGAGGCAGTAGTACCCTATTTCAAACAACAAAGCACATATTAGTATAACTGTAATTCCACTACCAATACTATGAGTCAGACTTTGAGCAAATGAACGAGGGTCCATGCCCTGTAGAGCATTGGCAGTACCCTCAGCCAATCCATCAATAGAATTTGTAGGCAGTTCTTTAGAAAAGTATTGAAGTACTTGATTTTGCAAAGACTTTACATCCAAAGACAAATTACCATGAACACAGTTAAGTAGTCTCCAGTCACTGGAGACTCTTCCCAGGGTTGGGTCAGCTTCACAGCCAGCCACAAGTGTGTTTTAGTTTTTAACACAATGAGAGAGTGGCAGCTAATCTTAAACTTAGCCATGAGTTAACACAGGAATATAAAGAGCAGTCATTACATGTTACAGTTTTAACTTTTTCATCAAATGAAACAGTGCCAATAACTATTACAAAAGGGAATCGAACACAAGCTTGTATATAGAAACTGGTATTATATACAAAGTGATAGTGAGATATAGAACTTGATGTTCCCAAGAAGTTGCCTTTCCAAAATTGCACAAGGGTAGTGGCAACTATTAGCTTTCAAAAGTCCCATTGTTCAGGTCCCCACCATCCGGAAGCAAGCGACAAGCTAGGTCTCGGGGGTGCCATGCCTCCATCATGCCAAGCCATGAGTCCATATTGGTTCCTATCTTTTACAGTCCCATTCTTCGACACATTCCAAACTGCATTTGTAACATAATCACAAACTGTAGGACCATATTCATCAGAACAGTTAGTCAAAAACTTTTCATGAGGTCCCCAATCAACAAAAACATACTTTCCTGATTTTAACAATTTCCCTTTTAACCCATGGCGCTGACTCCAAAAAGTAGGGGAATATGTTTAATTCTTATATGAAATTTGCTGACAAACCGTCTTATTGCTGCGTGCCTTAGATGTTGTATTTATTTCAGTAAAATTAAAAGAAACAGCAACATACATATCCATAAGTGTACGAATTTGTGAGCCAAACTGATTATTGATTTTAATAGGAGGAACAATATTAACCCAGGTCTGAGGGGCAATGGGTATACAAGGTGTCATACCAGCACACAAAGGAAGATATTCATATCCTAAGGTAAGATTAAAGATATGTCCTTCCTCATCAGGATGAGAAGATCCCTCTTTTGACCAAGGACCAGGCATGTGTTAAGTGTCATTGGTCAAGGCGACAGGCCCAATGTGTCCCCATTCCACCACCTGTAGCAATGGGGGGTGTGGAATATATGCCCAATATACATACGTATAGTTGGCACCTACCGCAGAGGCGCACGTGATAACTGCCGCCATAGCGAGGAACATATTTTCCGGGTTAACTGGAGCTCCCTGGTTGTGGAGAACTTGTTCACCGTGATTGCTGAGTGCCTTGACACTGCCCCATGTAATGGGTGCAACAGGACTATTGGTGGCCTTCCTTTTTCTTTTCATTGAAAGACGGGCCATGCCTTGGATCAATGGCTTCTGTGTCTCCCATAGTAGTGGCTGAGAAGTGACCGGAGGGTCTCTCATGGTGTTGTCGTTCAGAGTCTGAGGTGGTCTCTTGGATGGCCGGGATCCAGGGCCGGACAAGCCCAAGAGGTGTCCAAATTGTTTCACAGGATCCATCTAAAATGACAGAAGCATAGCCTTTTCCCTTTAAAATCATCACCCCCGCCTCCCACACATTTGTTCCTGGGGTTTTCACCCATACTGTTTCTTGCACACTGCGTGCTGGTTGAGTAGCAAAATGCTTACTGCTGCGTGTTACAGGGTCCCCCCTGCGGTAAATTCAGAAAGTTTAAAGTAAAAAGAGCTGATAACAGGGTTTCTTGTATCCAACGCTGTCGTCCTCCCTGTGCTCCCCCTTTTCTGTTTATAATTAAAGAGGAAAGCAATATTTTTAAAGTACGATGAGAACGGTCAACAACGGCTTGGCCGCGAGGATTGTAAGGAATACCTGTAAGATGAAGATTCTGCCATTCCCTGCAAAAATCAAAGAAACAACGAGAAGTGTAAGAAGGACCATTGTCTGTTTTGAGTTCTGTGGGAAGGCCCATAACAGCGAAGCAAGAAACTAAATGATTTTGAACATAAACAAAGGCTTCCCCTGACTGGGCTGTTGCCCACAAAAAACCCTGAAAAGGTATCAATAGTAACATGTAAATATGATAAAGGGCAAAAAGCAGGGAATTGGGTGACATCCATCTGCCAGATCTGATTAGGGCACAAACCGCGTGGGTTACTTCCAGCTGGAGAGGTCCGGCATAGATATGGTGCGCAGGCAGAACATCTCTGGAGGATACAATGAGCTTGATGTAAAGGAATATGATAGGCAGAATGTAACCGAAAAGCATTGGAGTGTAGAACAGCATGCTCTTCTTCTGGGGAAGAAAACACAGGAAAAATTTGTTTGGTTAATGCATCAGCTGTTTCATTGCCTCAAGACAGAGGTCCAGGGAGGCCGGAATGTGCACGAATATGTGCAATATGGAGAGGATAATTATGAGATCCCAGCGCTGATTGAAGCTGCTGTAACAAGGAGGCAAGAACAGGGTGTTTAGAATGTAAAGTACCTGTAACAAGACGAGGAACCAATTGGGCAACATATAAAGAGTCAGTAATAATGTTAGCTGGGCCAGGAGGCAGTTGCTGCAAGAGATGAAATATAGCAAATAATTCAACTTGTTGAGCTGATGAATAAAAGGTGTGGACTGAAAATTGAATTTGTGGTCCCACAGCAGCTGCAATACTGGAAGAAGAGCCATCTACAAAATAAACAGGAGCTCCAGGTATAGGCTCAAGAACAACAGTATCAGAAATTATCCATTTTGTAGACTTGAGAAAATCCCATAACTTTCCAGCAGGGTAGTGACATCCAGTGTAATTAGGATAATCGGCCAATGCAAGCTGCAGTGTATCTGACAAGGGAAAAGTCCGTTGAAACCAAGAGGAAGAAAATGGCAAAATAATAACAGAGGGATCAAAGCCCCATATGGATTTAACACGGAGCTTTCCTTTAACAGTAATTTGAGCAATGAGTTCAATATATGGAGTTACAGGTTGAGAATTTGAGTTTTTAATATCTATCCATTTCAGTGGCTTGTCCTGTTGTGTAATTATTGCTGTAGGACTTTCAGAAGTGCCAAAGATTAATAAATTAAATGGTAAATCAGGCTGGTATCGAGAAACAAACTGTTTTTTAATTTGTTGCTCCACAAAAGAAAGTTGTGCTTGGGCCTCAGGGGTTAAATGCCTAGGGCTTTGTAAATTCGAATCGCCCTCTAGTGTTTGAAAAAGATGGGTTAAAGCATAATCAGGAATGCCCAACTTAGGGCATAACCAGTTAATATCTCCAAGTAACTTTTGAAAATCATTTAAGGTTTTTAAATGTTTTTGTTGCAGTTTCATGCACTGAGGCCGCACAGTATGCCGGTCAACAAGGCTACCGAGATATATAAAAGGTGATAAGGTTTGAATTTTTTCGGGAGCTATTAAAAGACCAAACTTTGGAAGTTCCATTAATAAAAACTGTACAACTTGAGAAAGGACAGAGTTACTGTCAGCAGCTATTAAAATATCATCCATGTGGGCCTCCCCGGTGGCGCAGTGCTTGAGCGCTGGGTTGAGAAGCTGCCCGCGGCCTCTGAGGTGCCGGTTTGATCCCTGGCTGCTCCCCGGCCACTGGAGGAGGGTCCCACGTGGTGTGCAGTCCTCTCCTGCCACCCGCTGCTCCCCTCAGCAGTGTGCTTCGGTTCTTCTGCCTGCTCTGCTCCCCGCTCTGGCTCTGGTGAATTCTCTCACCCTCCCGCGCTTCTGACTGTACCCAGTGCTTGTATAAACAAACAAACAAACAAACAAATAAATAATACATGCCTCTTTAAAATAAAATAAAATATCATCCATGTAATGTAAAATGCAAGCATCTGGAAATCGCTGCCGTGAACTAACTAGAGCCTTGTCAACATAAAACTGACACATAGTAGGAGAATTTGCCATGCCTGGAGGCAGCACCTTTCATTGATATCACAGGGCAGGCTGTTCATTATTTAAAGAGGGCACCGTAAAGGCAAATTGAACAGCGTCCTCAGGATGGATAGGAATTGTGAAAAAACAATCTTGGATATCTATAATAGTCATAGGCCAATTTTGAGGAATTGCTGCAATAGCAGGAATGCCAGACTGAAGTGCCCCCATAGGCTGCATAGCAGCGTTTATTTGTCTTAAATCTGTTAAAAGACGCCACTTGCCTGTTTTCTTTCTTTCTTTTTTTTTTTATAGAGGCATGTTTTATTTATTTATTTATTTTATTTGTTTGATTGTTTGTTTATACATGCACTGGGTACAGTCAGAAGCGCGGGAGGGTGAGAGAATCACCAGAGCCAGAGCGGGGAGCGGAGCAGGCAGAAGGACCCAAGTACACTGCTGAGGGGAGCAGCGGGCGGCAGGAGAGGTCTGCACACCATGTGGGATTCTCCTCCAGTGGCCGGGGAGCAGCCGGGGATCGAACCGGCGCTGCAGAGGCCGCGGGCAGCTTCGCAAGCCAGCGCTCAACCACTGCGCCACCGGGGAGGCCCTTGCCTGATTTCTTTTTAATTACAAACACAGGCGAATTTCAAGGGGAGAAAGAAATTTCTCTGTGGCCCTTTTGAAGCTGTTCTGCAACTAAAGTATGGAGAGCCTGGGTCTTTTCTTTAGACAGGGGCCATTGGCCGACCCAAATAGGTTCTTGTGTTTTCCACACTATTTTAGGAACATATTGTAATTGAGAAACCAAGGCCCCTATGGAAAAGATGACTGTAAGGCCAATGCAATGGGCTGAGCAATGCCTTGTAAAATTTTTCTTAGACCTTTGCCAGGTATATATCTCATTTTAAACATCATATTTTGAACCACAGAATTATTTATAGGAATTTATAGCTGAGCACCCCATTGCTGCAGCAAATCTCTCCCCCACAAATTTAGAGGAACCAAAAGAATGTAAGGTTGAAAAGTAGCTAACTGACCCTCAGGCACCTGACATTGTAACATCCTAGCACTTTGACGAATTGCATGAGCGGACACAGAGCCAATTCCAGTCATATTAGTAGTAGTAGTCTTTACTGGCCACTTGTCAGGCCATTTATCATTGTTAATTACTGAAACATTAGCACCTGAATTAACTAATCCTGTAAAAGTTTGGCTTTTTATCATTAAAGGCATCATAGGACGTTCAGCTTTTTGTAATAATTCTGACCAATAAATTCCAGCAGTGTCTGTGCTGCTAAAACCACTTTTCCTTTCAACTTTAGAATGACCAATAGGCATGTGAGGAAGCAAGAGAAATTGTGCAATTAAATTTCCTTTTTTAATTTCCCAGGAAATTTTAGTCTCAGCCACCACTTTCAACTCCCTGGCAATTAGAATCTATAACGCCAGGCAGTACATTTAACCCTTTTATATTTAAACTAGATTTACCTAAAATAAGCCCCACAGTCTTTGGTGGTAAAGGACCATAACATCCAGTAGGAATTCTGTAAGGGCCATAATTGGGCACAAAGTAACATCAACAGTGGAGATTAAATCTATTGCTGTACTGCCGCCAGTGGCGGGACTGAGTGATAAGGTGGAGAATCGGCTGTTTGCTGCATTATCGGGTATTGATGCCTGTTCTGCTGATGGAACTGCCGTAGGAATTGCTGTCCCACATTTGTCGGGGCCTGGGACTGGCCCCTCAACCCATTTCCCAACGGCGTACCATCTTTGTGATATTTAGATTTACAATTTCTCACATAATGAAACCCTTTTTGGCATTGGGGACAAGGAAAATGCGGTCGAGCAGAGGAGCCCTTTTGAGAATTTATGGTGGATGACAGTCGACACTCCCTCTTAAAATGCCCAATTTTTCCACAATTAAAGCATTTTTTAGTAGTTGTCTGTTGAAGGGATGCTGCAGCCATTACTGCCACAAGTGCCTGATATTTTATGCTGCTCACATCTCGGCACACACGTAAATATTTCAAGGTGTTATTAGTGTCCCGAATGGGGCGTATGGCATCCTGGCAATCTTTGTTAGCATTATTGTAAGGGACAGGACTGACCACAGTGCGGGTTTTCTGATCCCATGCAGACTGGGTAAAGGAGGAGTCAGAGTCCTTAGTAGTTTTGCAGGTCTTTTATTGGGGTTCACCAGGCATATGGCAGGCAGGGGTGCTGTCTCCAGCAAGTCTTCACTCTATCTGGACTCTCTGGCGTTCGTTCTGCTGCTTCTCGGCTTCAGCTTCAGCTGCTGCTGGTGCTGCTGCTGCTGCTGCTGCTGCTGCTGCTGGCGTCCCCCCGTGACGCCGCCCTTAAAAGCACAGTCTCAGCTCAGCTGAATCCCATCTACCTATGCCCACACCCTATTCCAGGTGCCCGCCATCAGGCATGCATTCAGGACAAGGATCCATCATCTATCCTGATGGCGGAAGGGCAGAAAAGCCTGACATTTTCTTTACCCTACAGTCCACCCCCTCAGGGTTTTCTGCCATACAGTCTATACATATATATACAATTTTCTAAGCAAACAAACAATGCAGCCATGGCCCACAAAAGCAAATACATCAAATATAACAAAATACAATATAACAAAATACAACAGAACACAAATAAGTCCAGGCAGGGCACCAACCTAGTGCAGAAGACAATTATTGGTACCAGCAGATAAGCCACCAAATCTGCTGCCGAAGGCACTGCTCATACGAGGGAGGGAATCACTCACGGCATCTACTATATCACACCAGGAGCCGTCAGGCTTCCTGGCCTTCTCTGGCTGTAGTCTCGGCTACAAGGCACACACAGCATCCACCCCCAGGATGCACTAGCTCTGGGATTGGCAATTTTATTCTGTTGGGGGTAATCGCCAACCCTCAGGGTTTCTGTCTGCAGTCGTTCCAACACTCGGCCTCCAACACCCCAAGCCACGTTCCCCACCTGTCCCCCAAGGACAGGTTCTTCAGCTCCTCACCCTCACTCAAGAATGAGCAGGGCATCACCCACAGGTGATTTTACGAGACTCACAGGTCTTCAGCATACCCAGGCTGCTTAACAGCCGCTTAGGGCTTCTCAACTTAGCATCAGTACCAGCTTTTGCCTACTTAGTTGGCTTTTCTCCTCCGCCTGGCTGCTGGGCATGCACAGGCTGCTTTTGGCCATCTAGGCCCACTGGCCACCCCCAGATTCCCATCTCTTGGGGTTTACAAACAAAACTGTTCCACCCCCAGGGTCCCAAAACATATCAACCTGCAAGGTCCTCCGCCTTCTGGCGGGAATGTCATTCCATCAGTCCATCAGTTCAAGTCCATTGGTCTCTCCCTGCGTCAGCAATGGCCTGCTGCCTCAGGGGTCATTGGCTGGTCCTTTCCGGTGTCGTTGGCTGGTCCTCTTGGGCGTCTCCTTCATGCCAGGTCCCGTCCTGCAGCTCCCGAACCGTATCCATCTTCTGTGCCGCCCTGGCGCCTCCAGCGTTGTCACAGGCAAACACTTACTCCTTAGTCCCTTCCAGGTCTTCGGAGGGCTCCAATACCCGTCTGCATGGATCCTGCCGACTACGCCAATTGTAAGGGACAGGACTGACCACAGTGCGGGTTTTCTGATCCCATGCAGACTGGGTAAAGGAGGAGTCAGAGTCCTCAGTAGTTTTGCAGGTCTTTTATTGGGGTTCACCAGGCATATGGCAGGCAGGGGTGCTGGCTGGGGGGCTGGGAGGCTGGCAGGCCTCCCAGCCCCCAGCAAGTCTTCACTCTATCTGGACTCTCTGGCGTTCGTTCTGCTGCTTCTCGGCTTCGGCTTCAGCTGCTGCTGCTGCTGCTGCTGCTGCTGCTGCTTCTGCTGCTGGCGTCCCCCCGTAACGCCGCCCTTAAAAGCACAGTCTCAGCTCAGCTGAATCCTATCTACCTATGCCCACACCCTATTCCAGGTGCCCGCCATCAGGCATGCATTCAGGACAAGGATCCATCAGCTATCCTGATGGCAGAAGGGCAGAAAAGCCTGACATTTTCTTTACCCTACAATTATCATATGCTAACTGTGTTAAAAGTCTATTTTGTATATCAGGATCACAAACTTGCTTTTGAAGAGCGTCTTCCAGACGCTCTGAGAGAAAATCAGCGTATGATTCATCATTCTTTTGCAGTATTTTAGTATAACTAGTTGCAGCCGTGCCAGAGCTAATACGAGCCCAGGCTGCAAGAGCAGCATCCCGAGTTTGTTTAAGAGACAACTGTGAAGCAGTATTAATTTGATAATCAATGGACGCAGCAGGCCCAGTTTCAGCCAAAATATCAATATTAATATGAGCCGTTTGCGGATCTCTAGCATTTTCTTGAGCAGTAGCATGAGCCTCCTCAGCAAACCACATTTTTCATTGCATATATTGAGCTGGGGAGAGAGTAGTTTTACAAACCAAATGCCAATCATGGGCAATCCAGTCAGTACTCTTGGTCAGACCAGCTAGAAAGCATTTCCACACAATACGGAGATGTTGGCCCATACAGGTGAACACTCTTTTTAAAGTCTCTCATAATTGACATTGGTAATCCTTTATATATAGGCACATTATTATCACCCATTACTACTGGAAAAGACATGTGAAATTCATGAGTACCCTTCATGGCCTTTTCCATGGGAGAGCGATTTTGTTTCCATGGGTCAACTCTTTTATAGACAATTTGGGTGTCAGTCAGATTGCTGTCTGTAACAGGATCCACCGCTTTTTTTTGTAATTGTTATTGTTGCTCCTTTTTCTTTTTGTTCCTTTTTTACATCCCATCCTTTACCCTTAAGATCTAATGTAATATTATCTTCCATAAGGATAACAGAACTTTCTGATAATGCAGATTCCTCCTCCCCAGTGTCAGGTAAAGACACATCCTCAGGCCGTATTTTATGAGACCTTACTGTTTTCATTTCCTCCTCCTCCTGAAGAGGGATGGGAGGCCTGATTTGAAGTCCAGGGGAAGCTGAACCTCCTAAAGTAAGCTCTCGTAAATTCTCTGCAGCTGGTTTAAGACCTGAGCACTGTCTACGACCCTGTTTAAGGGGGGATTGCAACATTGAACACGGCTCCTCTGGTGACATATTTGAAAAAGGTTTGGCAGAATTATTAACAGGAGCCGCAACAAAAGGCTGAGCCCCTTGGTCACTCTTATTGGATATTTGCAAAGGAACATCATCATCACAATCTTCTAGAAATTGCTGAACAGCTTGACCTGCCTTAGTCAGAGTGACATCATCAAGATTATACTTATGTAAAGATTCCTGCGCCGTTTGAACCAAAACGGCTGTGTCAGGACGGATTTTTCCGTCGACAGCTAACATAGCTTCTCTAAGTATAGCCCATGTGGACCAAAACTTTACAGGGATCGGCTCCCCCTGCTTATGTTTCGGGACCATTGTCTCTCGGACCCGGTCCCATGTTCCAAGATCAAAAATACCAGTATCAGGAAACCAAGAATTATATTCAGTAACAACATTCAAACATTCAAGAATTTGAGAGAGCGGGACTTTTGCCCCATGTTCAGTCAATAAATGTTTCAACAGAGAAGCAAAAGTAGAAAGATGAAAAGAAGAATGCCCCATTCTGTTAATTTCCCCTTATTTACTCACCACCTTCTGTAAACTGTCACCCGCCGCCGTCGTCACCTCGTCACTCTGGGTGGGAGGTATTAGCTACAGGTCCGTTTGTTCGGGCGCCACTTGTGGACTTCTAGTGAGTCCGAGACCCGGGACACGATGGTGAGGGAAATCAGACATGGGGGACTGTCATGTCCAGCATGCAGTAAATCTTTATTGTCTTAGTGCTCGTTATATACTATTTTAATTACAGCAGGTGTAACATCAAAGCATACCATATAATGATAACATACATGAGTGATTAGCCTATTTTCTTACTGTTATCTATTTACTTCAGACAGTAGGGTACCAGGTGGTTAGTTCTCACGCACATAATCGTATCGCCCCCTAGCCAGAGCCTGGGAAGTTCGCTCATTATTTTTGTTATTCTCAAACTGTGGAGATATACGCAGTTCACTTCTAGGCTCTCAACACCAAGTCCTGTCACCCAGAGGTTTTCCTCCAAGACGCATGTGTTTTCACTCGCCTTAGGGACTCGGGTCAAGGCCCTTCTGCTCACTACGCGGGGTGGCCTCCAACAGCTGTCAGTCTTTTTGTTTCTGATTTAAGAATGTGTCTTTTTTTCCTCTTTGGCTATTTTTTTAAAAAGTCAATTTTCTTGTGTTTTTCTGGAATTTTATTATGATGTCCCTGCATGTATTTTTCTTTATATGTCCCACAACCTGACAAACTCTTAACTGACAGTCTGAAGTCCCTTTTCCATTAAGTTTATTTTGCAGCAGTTTGTTTTTTTTTTAATTCAGAACAGACACTTATCCTAAGTATCTTAAACTGATTTTTAAAATCCTGTAAATTAGAAGGGGCCCTAGCTATTTTCTCTGTCAATCTTCATTTTAAATATGGATACAAAAAAGATAAAGAGGATACACCGAGCCAATCAAAGACAAGCTTTAACTTTACTTTGAGGATGTTTCTGAAATAATAAAATGTAGCCCAGCCCCCTGCCCTCAATTGTAAAGTGGGCAACCATTGCTAATAATTCTCTAATGTGTATAAATTAAATTTCAGGTATAACAAATGTGATCATGACATGAAAATATTTCAGAATAGATACTGTATTAAATATTGCCATGTTTACAATATGTAATATGTTTTTAGCCAATGGATTTAAATATGTAGATTCAACTAGAACCCACTTATGTGATATTTGTAAATAAAGGTAGAAATATTGGATCCATCCCTGCAGAACTTAACTGTACAGTGTAGGTGAAGTGTAGCAATGAAGAATTGTCAGCTCAACACTGACTGAAGAAATAGAGAAAATAGTAAGTCCATACAGAGCATCTTGTGCAAAGTACTGACAGCTGTGGGTCCAGCATTGACGGCAAAAATAATGGGGTGGTTGGTTCTCTTTCATCTCCTTCCTCTGAAAGGAAGAAACTAAATTTGGACATTCAAGTCAAGCTTGTGCCTAGTCATAAAACTGGATCAATTATAACCTTACAGAATGAGTCACGTGACCAGACCTGCAAGTCTAAGGCCTTCAGAACACTAAAGATGGGAAAATGAGATTTCTTTGGAGAAAAGTTGTAAATATTAATGGCATTTTTAGGAAAAGTCTCTTACAATTTAAATTTCATGCAGATATTTTTCCATGATATTGGTGCCAGTCAACCAGACAGTTATCACTTTGAAATAACCAGCGTAAGCCCATTTGCTCCAGAGTAGGAATTCTCTTTGGGTAGCTCTGTAGTGTTTTCCATGTTTCTTTCTGCACTAAATAAGTGAATGTTTAGTTTGTTTTAGGGTGAAACATTGACTTTGTAAACTTTAGGGCTAAAATGCTGCTCAGTTTGCCTAATTGGGAGTAATACTACAGGCAGAACTATCTGAAGATGAAATTCAGCAAATGTTGTCACTACTCTTTCTAAAAACTATATAAACACAGAATTTTTATGGTATTCCTTTATTTATTTATTTATACAAGCACTGGGTCAGAAGGGCGGGAGGGTGAGAGAATTCACCAGAGCCAGAGCGGGGAGCAGAGCTGGCAGAAAGACCGAAGTACACTGCTGAGGGAAGCAGCGGGTGGCAGGAGAGGTCTGCGCGCCATGTTGGACCCTCATACGAGGGCGGGGGAGCAGCCGGGGATCGAACGGGCGCTGCAGAGCCTGCGGGCAGCTTCGCAACCCAGTGCTCAACCGCTGCGCCACCAGGGAGGCCCTGTCCTCATCTATTTTCCCCCAACACACACTCATTGGTGAAACATTTTTATTTAGATATTTTAGGCAGCACTTATGATTACTAATTTCTGAGAACTACCCTTCAATAAAACAAAAGGGGCAGGGGTGGGAGTCCAGGCTACTTGGTTCAACCTTTTTCACAAATAAGCCCAGAAAAGGTGAAATGTCTTGTTATAAAACTGTGTTAGGCATGACCTAAGTATTAGGTGTATGATCTGTATAGTATGTTCCATCAAAAATATTTATTATTAGTGCTTTAAGCTCCAGAGTAAACATGCATTCAAAATGGAGTTCACTGGGCAGATTTCCCCTTTAATATAGATAGAAATATTCGTTATCAGAGATTTAGGACACAGTTTTGCTAACTGGTAAAAACAAATGTAAATATGTAAGAATATTTATTGCACATAACTTTTTTGGTATAAAATAAATGTAGAAGTTACCTGTGGAAGTTGTGCTGCCAACATTCTTATTCTACAGTTTTACATTTCCAAAAAGAGGACCTCATTTCTACAAGTATACTGACTTGATTCCTTTTATCTTTAGTTTTATGTAACTTGTAGAAGACACAAGCAGAATCCATAGAGATTCTAGTTCTTAGAACTGGTGTGAGTTTGAGGATGTCAAGAATTAATGAAAAAGGTGTTACTGCTTACAGGATTGGAAGCACACAGAATGTATATAAATCAGCTGTTTTCCCATACAGTCTTTGAAAAAGGTAATATATTCAAGAAAGATGAATCCATTCGAAATATTTAATTGCATAGAACAAAAAATGTGTTCTGTGCTAGAACCTTAAGATTTAAGAAATGAAACTTATCCCTAAGTTTAAAAACGTTGTATTTTCTTTGTCAAGTAAAGACTTTTCAGTATTATTCCTTGACATTAAACTGCAACACAGAACTTAATTTGAGAACCTTGAACCGTCTCTTAAAGTTTAGTGGTAACAAAAGAAATACGGAACCACTAGAAATCTTAATCGACTATTTGAATTGAGTACGTTTTTATTTGGTCCAAAAAATGCCCAATAAAATTAGGTAAAATTATCAGTTCATGGATTTTGGAGAGGAAGCGTAAAAGGCATGTGTACACATGGTATCAACCACAAGTGAAATGAATCAAGTTCTATGTGAAAATCTATTGGTTCATGGTCTTCCATTTGATTGGAAGCTCTCCTGAAAAAAAAAGAAGGGAATGGAGGCATCACACTCCCAGACTTCAAACTATACTACAAAGCCATAATCATCAAAACTGCATGGCATTGGAACAAGAACAGACATACAGACCAATGGAATCGAATAGAAAATCCAGAAATAAACCCACAGATTTATGGTCAACTAATCTTTGACAAAGGAGCAAAGACTATGCATTGGAGCAAAGAAAGTTTGTTCAATAAATGGTGCTGGGAAAACTGGGTCGCTACATGCAAAAGAATGAAGCTTGACCACTACCTCACACCATACACAAAAATCAACTCAAAATGGATTAAAGAACTAGACATAAGACCTGAAACCATAAAATATATAGAAGGAAATATAGGCGAAACACTACGTGATTTGCACATCAAAGACATCTTTATTTTATTTATTTATTTTTTTAAAGACTACTTTTTTTTTTTAAGATTTATTTATTTTTTTATTTATACAAGCATTGAGTACAGTCAGAAGCGTGGGAGGGCGAGAGAATTCACCAGAGCCAGAGCGGGGAGCAGAGCAGGCAGAAGGACTGAAGTACACTGCTGAGGGGAGCAGTGGGCGGCAGGAGAGGTCTGCACGCCATGTGGGGACCCTCCTCTGGTGGCCGGGGAGCAGCCGGGGATCGAACCGGCGCTGCAGAGGCTGCGGGCAGCTTCGCAGCCCAGAGCTCAACCGCTGCGCCACCAGGGAGGCCCAAAAGACATCTTTACAGACACATCACCCAAAGCAGTGATAGTGAAGGCAAAGATAAACAGCTGGGACTACATCAAATTAAAGAGCTTCTGCACAGCAAAAGAGACAATAACAAAAACAAAGAGAAACCCCACCAACTGGGAGAACATTTTTGCACACAACACTAATGATAAAGGACTGATCACAAAAATCTGCAAAGAGCTGATGAGACTCAACAACAACAAAGAAAATAATCCAGTCAAAAAATGGGCAGAAGAGCTAAAAAGAAACTTCTCTGAAGAAGAAATGCAAATGGCCAACAGGCATATGAAAAAATGTTCAACATCACTTGTCATCAGGGAAATGCAAATCAAAACTACCATGAGATACCATCTCACACCAGTGAGAATGGCACATATTAAAAAAACTAGCAACAACAAATGTTGGTGAGGGTGTGGAGAAAAAGGAACTCTTCTGCACTGTTGGTGGGAGTGCAAACTGGTCCAACCACTATGGAGAGCTGTGTGGAGATTTCTGGACCTACTAAACATAGAGCTTCCATATGCCAGCAATTCCACTCCTAGGTATTTACCCAAAGGACACAGAAACATCAATTCCAAAGAACACCTGCACCCCTATGTTTATAGCAGCACTGTTTACAATAGCTAAGCTTTGGAAACAACCCAAATGCCCAAAAATAGATGACTGGATCAAGAAGATGTGGTACATATACACCATGGAATATTACTCAGCATTCAAAAAAGATAAACACATGCAATTTGCAGCAACATGGATGGCGCTGGAAGGGATCATGCTCAGCGAAATAAGCCAAAAAAAAAAAGAAAAATACCGGATGGTCTCACTCATAGCAGGAATGTAGAAAACTTAAATAAGGGACCAGGAAAATGAATAACTACAAGAAAGTGAAAATCAGAATCAACAAAAAAACTATGAAACAGAGACACTTTTGGGGGGGTGGGGGGCGGGAGGGGAGGGATTGGGATCAGAATGGGGGGGTTGCAATTGTATGGGGAATATAAAAATAAAATTTATTATTTAAAAAAAATAAAGTACATCTGCCAACCTGATTAACTCCCAT